GTTGCAATCGTTTGAGAAATTGTTTTGTTTCGTCTTCGCTAATGCATTCTTCTTCTTTTTAGTTGCAGAGGATAGTGCCCGCGATCTATTGGTCTTTATCACATACTTTCTCAATTTGGCTATGCTCCTCTTCTTTGTTATTTCACTGTACATCTGAGGAGAAGGAAATGGAATTAGAGATCATGCGTATTTGCCTAATAAACTAAAATAGCAGGACAAAAAATCTGCAAAATATCATCCGTTCAAATATTTAAGCCTCTAAAAAATACGTTGGCTTTGTGTCCAAGGTTTTGGAGGAAATATTTCATTCTGACACCGCACATTCTGATGATTAACTATCTGTCGTCACGTTACTATACACATCATTAACGATCGATGTTGATATGACGGTCGGGGTTTGGTTATCTGGACATACGGACGTCCGGACATAATAGTATTTTATTATTTTGGGTCACACTTTGTATAGGGATATATCGATGCAATCAATGTATTCATTTGACACAAATTTTCTGATATATTATATTCATTAGACAGAGGCTCATTCGCTTTCCTCTCCTTGTTTCAGTCTCCTGGCTTTGACGAATTCAGAGAGTCCAGTATGAATTCTCCTCAACCGACTTATCCGGTGACTCCGGGCGATCTTCCACCTAAAAGAGCTTTAGGTAAATTTTATTTCTCTCTTGATCAGTCTTTGCTCATGAGATTTGTGATTTTTGTGGAACAAAATATTCGAATATTTTAGTGAACAGATCAGAAAATTCCAAGCCCAGAAGCTATATTGCTTATGGGAGATTCGAAAATAGAAACTCCATGTCCAGATTGACCTAGTTAGTGAAAATCCGATAATTAAACCAATGGAAAACCAAATCAAGTTCTCTCTTATATGCAAGTCATCTTAATTTTTTCAGTGGAGAGCATAGACTTCAATCAAAAGATTCTGAATCCAAAATCTTTTCTATATGTGATCTTTGTGCCTTTGCAATTAAATTCGCTCAAATATCCCCCTTTCAATACAACAAATCGAGATTTGAAGCTTACAAATATCGTGATCCTAAAACTTTTGCTGCCTCTCTATTCGTCTTTCTCCTCCCATCCAGTAGCAATCAACGTTTGCGAGCCAATGGAAACAACTATTGATAAATATAATTATAGTTCCCCATGAAATAAAAAAGTGAAGTAAAACTTTGCAACGCACATCACTTACAACTTTGCAACGCACATCACTTAGGTGAAATCCGCAATTGGGCTGCCAAAAAAGCTCGTGTTGGGCTCGTTCCTTAAGTAAACAAGCCGAACACAAATAAATTTTTAAAGCTCAAATTATTAACGAGCCGAACACGAACAATTCCTTGTTCGCTCGTGTTCAGCTCGTTTTAGCTCGAAATAAAAAAAATTATATAACTATTTATCTAACAATATATTACATATATTATTTATATAATAATATATTATATATATTTATGTCTAAATTTAAATCATAACACCTCATATGACAATGTGGTTAGTGCATTCTTTTGTATATATTTGATCAAGGTTCGAATCTCATACTTTACATCTATTTTTCTCAATTTAAGTTTAACGAGCCAATTTCGAATCGAACACGAAGACGAATATTTTACACGAGCCGAACACAAACACGCTGTTCACGAGCCGATTTCGAACACGAGTTATTTCGAACGAGCCAAACACAAACTAAGTCTGAGCTCGCTCAAGCTCAGCTCATTTACAGTCCTACTCCGCAGAGCGGGAGTAAAAATAATGTGCGTGAGGCCACAGGATCATATTAAATTCGATCGATGTTTAAAGATAAAATAGTTTTTTATTCTTGTGCGGTCATCCTTTGTTGATGACCTCTGCATTCTTTTTTTTTTTAAGTCTTCCCTTCGCTACCTTCGACATATCGATTTTGCTAATTCATCAAGTCCCCACTCCCCCTCTCCATTCACAAAAACGCACAAATCACACTATATAAACACATTTAAAAATTATTTCAGGATATTTCAAATTAATTAATATGCGAATGAAACTATTTTTTTTTACTTATGTTAATGATTTTATAGCTCCCTTGTTTTCTATTAAAAAAATATAAATAAAATAAATAAATTATTAGAAAAAAAAACAAGACAATTAAATATTCACAAATAAATTGATACCAGAAAAATTTGGAGTACTTAAATATTTAAATATATTTATCTAATACTCTACTTGTATTTATTTAATTCCTTACTTATCATGTATAGTGTTAAATTCAAATTTATCATGTGAGACATGTCTAAAAATCAAAGTGGTTGGAACCCCGAGGGGGAGAAATGGACCAAGAAAGAGGAATAACTAAAACAACATGCTTAGAGTCCTACCACTTCGATTTTTAGTTATAGTATGGACACTGGGGAATTGACAAGCTCTGTGGCCCATTTTATATATTGTAGCAGAAGATTACAAAAGATATGAGGATAAAGATCTTCTTACAGAGTATGGGTATAGAGAGAAGAGCCAAAAGCTCTTTTTGCATGTGTTAGACTACTATTTATAGAGATAGAGGGTCATAAAGTGAAAATTTATATATCTGCCTCTTTTTTAATGAGAAGGGTTACAAGACATTATTGTCTTTGGTCATGTATTTTCGTATTCATAACTAATTTCAGAATCTTTTAATGTGCTTGGAACTTTTGGTCGGCTGATCCTTGAGTCAGTCGATCGTACTGGTATTAATCTTTTATTTCATATAGATACGTGTTGGTCTTCACACTATATAAACACATTTAATCATGGGATTGTTGCTCATTGGTGGTAGCAAAATCTGGTCCTATTGACAGACCCTATTCCCCAAGTGTTTGCTAACAGTGTGGAGATTGTGGTCAATTGCATGACCAATCTTGTGGAGGCTTTGGAGGAAGCATGTGAGGGACACTGAATGGGCTCAGAAACCTTGACCCACCGCCTGGAAGAAGTGGAGGCTACTTCAGCCTAACGGGATGAGGATCTTCATATTATGTTGGAGGTAATACCGAGGGGAGGGGTT